CGGATTAAGGGTCCATTCAAAGAATTTTGAAGGCACGAGAAAATATGAATTTTAAAATTTGAAAGAAATGATATTAATTTTAAAATCTGGAAGAAAATTGTTTGTAGAGAGATATTAGTGATCAGCTATAGTGACCGACAACAGGACTGTTGGCGATAACTATAATAGCTGATGACGAAAAATAAACACCCTCATATTAATATTCAAACCCCGAATTTAGAAAATTTAGAAAAATCAAACCCAATATCTCTTGTTTTCACTAAACACAAAAAAAAGTAACACATGGAGTATCTCTTTTGCTTACCAAATAGTGACTAATGAGATTTTTAAAAACTACTCATTGTCATTTTGAAATTTGATGGGTGTATGGTCATTAAGCTTGACATAGCGAGACCTTGGTAGAATTGAGCTAAGGTTTCTCTTTTCATATTTGATGATTAACCTATAGTTTTCTTGGTAAAGGTGACGCCAAACATGTCAATAGAGTTAAGAAGTTTTGAATACTTGACAGCTATGAAATGGCATCCAGGCAAAAAGTGAACACAAATATGGTCCATGTTTTTAGTTGGTCTTTTGTCAAAGACAGATTGTAAAGAAGAGAGTCTTTTGTGTACTAAGTAACACCCATTGCAATAAAAGTAGATTTTTTCGGACGTGAATGATCACAAACCAACAGCAGAGAATAGGGAGAAAAACTCAGCATATGAATATATAGTCGAGGGAGTTCAAACACAAATGTGACCATAAAAACAAGACACAACTTGTAGAAAAAACACACACGGCCAAATGACATGTCCAGACCGGGAATAAGACAAGCAAGCGTTATATATAAAGAAGCATATAAGCACACAACCTTTCATTCCTCCTCGGATTCGGACTCTGCGCTTTGAAGCCATTCAATGAACGGTTTGGCATTCTTCCAAAGCGGAGCGTCCTTGTCCTCCTTGACACCCTCATTGTACCACTGCACTATGTATTCTTCCTCCAGAATATCGGCATCATAAAGAGCTTTCAAGACCAGGGCGACTTCCTTCACAGCAGCAGAGTTTGATTGCCTGCAGAACTCAGCTATGGCTTTCAGCAACATGAGTTGTGACCCTTCATTCTGGGACATGGCAGCTGCAAGGTAGTTCTTTTTCTTGACAATCACCTTCGCATACCCCTTGTCAACCCCATCAAGGAGGGATTCATATAGCGCAGTCATGACCTCCTGGGGAGTCCCAGAAAGAGATCCAAGAACAGATACAAACTGGCTGGGAGTGATGCCTTCCTTGATTTTCTCCTTCAGCTCCTCAACAAGCCTCTCCTGCAGGGATGTTTCTATTTTCTCACCCTCATCAGATGGTGGAGAAACAGCTTTTGGGCTTTCTTGATCCTTGTTGGCTTTCTTGGACTTCTTCCCTGTGGTGTCACCTTCTGTAGAAAGCATAACCATGTCAGCAGTTACGGCATTCAGCTGCTCTTGGATACGTAGGCGTGCGGCCTCCATAGATGTGTCGGTCTGCCACATCACATCATCACCGTCATCATCATCGTCTTCATCCTCTTCGTTAACATGGTTTCTAGGTGGCGAATTACCATCTGACCCACTGGGCTTCTTTTTAGAGCTAGTTTTTGCTGCAGGGGCATCCTTGGAAGAAGAAACCTTTTTCTTTGAATCTTTCTTCACCTTCTTAAGCTCCTCATCAGCAGCCTCGCCTTCCTTCAGACGTTCCTTCTCAGCCCTCCTCAATGACTTCTTATCCTTTGAACTCTTTTTGGCTTCTGGTGGGTTCTTGAGGATAAAAGAAGTGAGCTTGTCTCTCATGTCCACATCAGATATGAAACCACAGGCAGCACATTTCAGTTGGACCATTTGGCTTTTGGTAATTAAGACCTCTGTTTCAGGGTTTCGACACCCATAGCACTGAACATACTTTTTGATGAAGTTTTCAAGAAGGCCCGCAAGTTTGGCCGTGTCATGGGCCCCATTAACGAGCGAGATTCCAGTTTTTTCATCAAATTTTGACTGTGCTCCAAGTTCACAACCAAAGTATTTTGTAGTGTAGGAAGCTGGGCGAGCCAAAGCCTTTGCAATATCAACCATGTTGACAACATTAGTCTTGATGCCATTTCCACGACCCTCAATCTTGGTGATCATCCTCGGCATCTTGTACCTGTAGAAGGCATCATCACTGTTGCCAGCACCAATGTTCTGCAGCGCCATGTTTGCAGAGACTGTAGTACTCAGAGGAAGTGATCAGGATCTGCTAAGGGGAAGCCTTCAAGGAGGTCGTCAGCACGAAAATACTGAGTTGCTAGTTGCTCCTGGAATGGTATGAGACGGATACATTCAATTTTATGAGAGAAATGAGGATTCTTTTTCCTTGACTTAGGACAATATTTTCCAAGCAGACCAATTGTCCCAGAATAGAGAATGGCTTGTTCGGACATAAAAAGCTCCACACTGTGACGCTTGAAAATTTGACTGAATACAGACACAGCCTGCAAAACTTCACCACAATAATGAAAGGTTATTACACACGAAACATAACACTTTTCACGAATGCAGTCATCAAAAATGTCCTTTAACCTTTTATTTCTTTTTGTAGCTCATGTTACTGTTAATATGTTTTGGTTATCCTTAGTTGAGATAAAACTTAATCCAATGAGTTGATCTAACTCAAAAACTTTTTTACACATAAGCATAAAGGATTTTTCCCAAAACTAGGAAATTAGGCTGATCCCTAACAACATAACACCTGAAATTGTTAGATTCAAAGTTTAAACAACACAGAAGATTAGTGAATCCATGATAGTGCAAACAATATGAATGTTCACACAGATAGTCATTAATTCATGTCAAACTTGATGCATAACTTGGATTGCAATAAACCAATCATCAAGAAAAAATTCCTTTTTATTTTTCCCAAGCCTATGTGCATATCTTAGAGAAATACAGTTCATGTTAAACATTTGATTAATGAATTTTCCACTTATAGAACACAAACAAAAAGACTGCACTTAACAAGGAAAGAGTTCAATAAAAAATGTATAATGGAAGTTGAGCATAGAACTTTCTAGTGGAAAACCATATCTACCGCACATTCGAATAGTGTGTAGGATTTATAGCTATTGTCATTACGCCAACAAAATTTAAACAAATAATTAGAATTTAACCGCACACAATGAATGAGTGGGTAAAATCAGCTAAAAGTGCTCGCTTTTCACACCAGCAAATCAATCATATACTGCATAAACTCTTCTTTGGCCTGAGCAGTGATTAAAAAATCCCACAAAAACAACAGATTTCTTAGTGTATTACTAAATAATACAACATACTATTAAAACAAAAGATACTTTAATCCATCAGATGCTAAAAATATTCATCAAAAAGAGAAAAAAACGCATCGAAAATAGAAGCATACATACAGCCGGATCAGTCTGCTAAAACTAAAAACGGAGTTTATTCCAAATTTATTTTAAAAAAAACGCATTTAAAATAGAAGCATATATACAGAGACAGAGAAGATTCCCAACTGGAACCTGTGAAAATAAGATCTAAACAATGAGCTTTCAGATTCCAGAAATTTTCACCATGGATCTAAAAAATCATCGACGAAAAACACATCTAGAATTGCGGTTCGTATCAGAAATAGTAGAAAAAAGATGAATCTAATTGTTTTAGAACACGATTTGATCAGGCTGAAGTCGAAGCGGAGAAGAAACCGAAGAATACCTGGGATTGGATAGAATGGAAGAAACGGGAGAATTGTGGAAGAGGGAGCTCGCGCAGAAGGCCTTTATATATATAATCTCTTGCGGGAAGAACCTGAGATGTTTTAGGGTGAAGTAATTGTATAGAGAATTATAGTTGGGCTTGGAGACTTTCTTTTGTTAATTTGTGTTAACCGGCCCAATAGTTTTTTTTTTGAGGGGGGGGGGGTTCTTTTTTTTTTAATCCTTAATTTTTACCAATTGATTTTCATCCAATTAAGTAAAAAATGCTCCATCACTTTTTAAATTAATTCAGTATCACACTCCTGTGTTGCATGTCTCGTAGTTATGTTATGCAAATATATTAGTGTCATTATTAAATAGAAATAAGCCAAATATTGGAATAAAAATATTTTTATTATTTGAAAAACGTATATTAAATTAATTTTTAAATTTTTATTATTTGAAGAAGGCGGTGTTTTCCAGCGGATCGGAGCGTTTTCCGGCCACCTCAGGCAAAATTGACGCCGCACACCCCCTCCAATGTGTTCGTGGCATCTCGGCGACCCCCAAGGATCTTTCAATTGCAAGATTTGATGACGATTTGCAAAACCCTCAATTTTAGATTTTAGAGTTTTTCGAGTGGAAAAATTCAAATTTGAGAAGTTGCAGGCCAAATTGGACAAAATGATTTGAATATTCTTGATCATCATCTCAAGACGAAGAGAACGACGTTGGTCCCGCCGGAATCTAACTAGGTTGATTTTCCGGCGACTTTAACGTGGTGCAACGACGGCGGAGCGGAAAAAAAGAAAAAAAGAAATTGGGTCAAATTGAAAATTTTAAAATATATAAAATTCTAATTTGGCCCAAATGACCGAAAGTTAACCTAAAAACGGGCAAATGGACTTTTAGTGAAAGGAGGGTGTAAGTTCATAGATTTTTGTGAAAAGATTTGAAATTTAGGTGCCATTTCGAAATTCCAGCTAAAGTTCAGGTACCATTGGTGAAATTTACCCCTAAAAGGAAAGATAAAATATTGAAAAACATATACGGAGTACTTCCAAATACTCCGTAATTTATACGGAGTAAGTTTTTAGTCACTAACAATCAGGAATTGGAAAAGAGAATCTATTCCAAATTGGACAGGGTGCTTGGCAATGTAGAATGGATGGTAACATTTGATTTTAAGGTGTGTTTTAAAGAAAGGGGTATCTCTGATCACTCCCCCATGATTCTTCAAAGAGTAGGGCATCAAACAGCATCTTATAAATTTAGATTACGTGACATGTGGACACTAGCTCCTGAGTTCTCTAAGATTGTGGAAGAAGTGTGGATGCAAGAACATACAGGTTTCCCATGTACCAAATCATTCAAAAACTCAAACAACTCAAGTATCCTATGAAAAGGCTGAACAAGAGGAACTTCCGATCCCTAGATACTCAGATGGATCAGATTAGAATTAAGCTGCAGAATGTCCAGAAGGAAATGAAATACAATTCTTCTGATGGCAGATTACTAGCTTCTGAAAAGGAATTAACCAAGGAACTACATCAGACCCTTAAAGCAAGCTATCTCATGAAATGCCAACAATCCAAAGCTGACTGGATCACTTATGGGGATCAGGATACCAAATTGTTCTATGCATGGGTGAAGAAAAGGAAAGCACAGACCCACTTAACCTCCCTACGGAATACAGAGGGGGTATATGTGGAGGGGAGACTAGAGGTGGCAAAAGTCCTAGTTGATTATTTTCAAAAACAACTGGGTGTAGCAATGGAGACTAATGACATTGATGCTGATATTATTGGTATGGGTCCTACCTTATCCATAAATCAACAACTGGCCCTAATTGTTCCAGTCACTCCCGAAGAAATAAAGAAATGTTTGTTTGATATACCTAACAACAAAAGTCCAGGCCCAGATGGCTATAGCAGTGGTTTTTTCAAACACCAATGGAAGAAAACAGGGGTACTAATTATCAAAGCGATTCAAGACTTCTTCCACAAAGGAGAAACACTTAAACAAATAAACTCTACAAATATTGTGGTTATTCCTAAAACTGATGATCCAAATAGTCCCACCGACCTGAGACCTATAGCCTGTTGTAATGTCCTTTATAAGGTAATCTCAAAAATCATATGTGGCAGATTGAAGGCTATATTACCAGAGATAATTAATCTGAACCAAGGAGCATTTCTAGCAGGAAGAGAATTAGTACACAATGTACTTTTATGCCAGGAGATTGCAAAGGGTTATAAGAGGAAAGATATCTCTCCAAGATGCCTAATGAAGTTGGATCTCCAAAAAGCTTATGAAAACGTTAGCTGGAAGGCTATTGACCAACTGTTGAAGCTTCTCAAGTTTCCCTCAATATTTACCAAATGGATTAATTTTTGTGTGACTACCCCCATATACTCCATACTACTGGATGGCGAGAGTTTTGGATATTTCAAAGGAGGAAAGGGGCTCAGGCAAGGGGATCCTGTATCTCCTTTGCTATTTGTTATTATTATGGAATACCTCACCAGAGCATTTCAGTATTATGCCACCAAAGAGAAGTTTGGATATCACCCACTTTGTAAATCCTTGAAGGTTATCAATCTAGTCTTTGCTGACGATTTGATAGTTGCATGCAAAGCTGAAGAAAAATCAATCAAGGGCATTATGAAGACTTTAGAGCATTTTAAAAATACTACTGGTCTTTCCATCAATCCCTCTAAATCTGAGATTACTTTTGGAGGGGTAAACAGACAGATGGAGGATAGATTTCTCCAGATAACCAATATGAGGAAGGGGTCTCTACCTTTCAGGGATCTCCAATTACAGCAGCAAGGATTAGTATTAAGGACTGTGAGAGTCTGGTGGATAAAATGACTATCAAAATCAATGCGTGGTCATCCAAGAATTTATCATATGCTGGAAGGGTGAAATTGATGATTAACTCAGTTTTATACGGAATTCTGACCTTTTGGAGCAGATTATTTCTCATCCCCTCAATGGTCATGAAAAGAATACAAGCTATTTGTAGGAATTTTTTATGGGGATCCTCTAAGGAACACAGGAAAGTCCCCCTAGTTGCATGGGAGGAGGTATGCCTTCCTAAGCGATTTGGTGGATTAGGCCTAAAGAATATGGTTCTTTGGAACTAAGCCAACATAATGAAGCTAGTGTGGGACATAGCCTTGAAAAAGGATATCTTATGGATCAAATGGATCCATAACAAATATATTAAAGACTCTACGATATGGGAATGTCAAAATAGAAGGGATGATTGCTACTATTGGAAAAAAATCCTTCAAACTAGGGACTATTTTGAGAGTATGGATAAATCTGTCCCCTATACCCCAAAACTGTGATATCAATGGCAATTGGGGGAATTGAAGGACTGGAAGTGGAAGAACATGGTCTGGAATAGGTTCACCATTCCCAAACATAAGTTTATCTTTTGGCTAATCTGTAAAAATAAAATTCAAATCAAGTGCAGGTTAAGCAAATGGCTGCCCATTGATACTCAATGCATGTTGTGC